TATCTTTTTTGAAGCCCACACAGGGGCATACATGGATGGATTGTACACATCCATTTACATGGCGTCTGAGGGAACCGAAACAGCACCACACACAAGGCCACAGCCTGCTTTCATGGAGGGACTCGTGTCCAGTCAGCACGTACCCGTGTGGATCATTCTTGGATAACTGCCTAATAGTTCATTGAATTTAATTCACTCTCTCACCTATTGACTCATGGATAGCGCATCTATTTCTGTTTTTGTTTTGTTTTTAATTTTTTTTAAACTTTATTTTATTCATTTATTCATTTTTAATGTGGTGCTGAGGATCAAACTCAGGGCCTTGCACGTGCGAGGCGAGCGCTCTGCACTAAGCCCCAGCCCCAGCCCTGTTTCTGGGTCTTTGATCACCATAAGGAGTGCTGTAGTCACCCTGATGTGTGCATCTTCGTGCAGTTTGGGTGTCACGGCAATAGAATGTTGTCTTAGCAGGAGACCCCTGGGATGGAGGCATTTTACATTCTAGTGGACAACATCAGTTTCCAGGAAGATCGAAGTAGTTCTTTTTAATACTACACATTTTAGTTCCTTTGATTTTTTTTGTTCATCTATTGGGTGAAAATCTGTTGATTTTTAGATACTTAAAAGAACTTGGTGTCAACAGCATCATTGCTTTTTTGTTACTTTGTATACCTTGAATAGGGTGGAATTATGTAGCTGTTGACGTTCTGTATCCTGAAGTATTCAGATACATGATCCAAGCTACTGTGTAGTCTTAATTATTATCTTTTTAAAAATTTCTATTCTAATTATACATGACGGTCGAGTGCGTTTTGACACACCATACATGATCACAATATAAAATTCCTGGTATCTAACTCCGTTCTGATTGTCAGTAGATAGCATGGGATGGTTAGCAGCAAAGAGCTTCATGTAGGCCTTTGTCTAATATTGACGCCAACCCAATCTTTAAAGCAACATTGGTTTCTGAAGTTTGGGGAGTTCAGTTATTCTTAGTGCTGATGAAACCAGGGTTGCTGTGGTCAAAGGGGTGCCAGGGACACGGCCAGAGATGCTCTTGCCTACGTTGTCAGCTGTGAAATGTACATACTGAATTCAGTTGGTGTTGTTACCAATTCTTTTAGCAGATTACATCAAACAGGAGAGGTTTATTTCTACATCATAGGGGCTGCGGGCATAGGATAAGACTTGGGGATGTCTTGGGGCATGTTTGCACACTGGTTCTGTGAGAGCTCCCACTCCTCACATCTGTCTTATAGGGTGGAGTTATCTACTATTGACATTCTGTTTCCTGAAGTATTCAGGTACATGATCCAGATTACTGTGTAGTCTTTTTATCTTTCTAAATTTTATTTGTTCTAAGTAGTTATACAGGGATGCGTTTGACACACCATACATAGAGTAGCATTGTGTAGTCTTAATGAAACACCAGAGCAGCAGTACCAGATAAGAATCTAGAGGATGGAGAGGTGTAATCCTGGTGACTGAGTTGGGCTCCTCATTATGAGACCCAGTGAGCCCTGGCAGCAGCCCGTGTGCCCAGCTTAGAGTCAAGTGCAGCTCTTCTGTGCAGTGACGGGGGCTGCTGAGGAAGAGACAGGTCTAGGGATACCTCTTAGACGGTACCTGCATGGTCAGACTTAAAACAAGGGCTGATGTTGAGCTTCACGACGGGTTAGTCCTTCTGCCTAAAAGGAAGCCATGGACCTGCTCAGAGGACACTGGGCAAGGGAAACAGGAACTTCCACAGGGAGACAGTGGTGCCAGCAGAGGGCAGGCTGGGCGTGAAGGAGCTGGGGGCTTGCCAGTCGTCGTTTACCCCAGGCCCTTCCACCCACCCTCACTTCAAGGCAGAGGAAGAACTGAGCCAAGTTTTGCTACCATCTTTTTGACCAACATCCAATAACAACATTTTGGTAAACTGTAAAAGACATTTTCTTGAAACACCTCCACCCCCTTGGTTTGGGGTTAAATATTCAGAACATAAAATTCAACCATTTTTAAGTATATACTTTTGTAGTATTCAGTAGATTCATATTGGCTGTAACGTTTTTGCTAGGTATCCCAAAGGTTGTATTTGTTTAATGCTGGAATCCCTTCTATTCTATCACCACTGTGGAGTGCACATAGGGGACAGGCTATCTGTTCCACGACAGGATCGTGTCCTGGAAGGTGTTCTCTTCCATCTGTGTTAGTTAAATACACCCATTTCCTCTAACTGCTGCTCATCAAACGTGATAGATCTAAAAGAAATTTACTAGCCCTTTTCATTTTTTGAGTTTTTATTTACCTTCAGATTCTCCCCTGCACGTCGGCTGCAGCCAGCACAGTCAGATCTCGCCAGCCTTGGAGAAACCCTCTAGCATATTCCCTAAGTGTTTCCTTTCTGGCAACATGCCCATCAGCAGCAAGAAGTCCATACAGCAAGATTACTACAGTACTCTTTTACAGACAGGTAGAAATACTAAATTTACAGTTTCCATTGCTTGGATGAATGTTTCTTGAGAGTAAAAAAATTAAGTTTAAATTCTGAAAATTTGGTTAGTGGTCTCATGTTATCTCCCCAGACTTTTGGGTATGTTTCTAGCCGCCTCCTGGTTACTGGTAAGAAGAACGAGTCAACATTACTTGTATTCTTTTTTGCACCATATGCTTTACTTGGGGATTTGATGCCTCAGTGCATCTTCCAAATTGTACCAAGAATGATGGTACCCAAAGATGTTAAGGGGCATGCTAAGAAAGGGTTCTGCGGTTAAAATGTTTGGGAAAATGGTAGCAGAGCTGACACATTGCCTACGGTTTCTTAGCACCCTAACTGTACTTGTAAGTTAACATGTTAGGCAAACTTATTTGAGCACACTTTTTTCGAGGTGTTATGTATTTACCATCTTGACTTGGCTTAGGTATTTGTATACTTATTTATGGACAATTATGCCGATAAGCAAGCAGTATGTTTGGATTATTTCGTCCTTTACTAAATATCCAGTTTGTTACATGACATGCTTCCATTGAATTAATAGTATGTAAGTACTGTACAGGAAGTGGGTAATTTGTATGGCATCTTTGGTGTTACTTGCTGCAGGATCTCTTGTTGGTTTGGTGTGCATGGATAGGTCCAAGTGATCAGAGCTATACCGTATTACGCTAATCCCCACCCCAACCAACATATTGCCTGTTCTTACCATTTTGTGAGAATTCTTGTACATATCCTCACAGGTGATCAGTTTTCTCAGTCTGTTAAATTTCCCATGAACGGAATCTCAGATGTCAAAAGTACTTCAGGAGACAGTGAAAATTTCCCATCAGACCCTAAGAAGTCTGAGGAGTGGCCTGACTGGAACGAGCCTACGGAGCCTGAGAACCAAACCATGGGCACACAGATCTGGCCTCCAGAACCCTGTGATGCTGCTGCCGAGGAGCCCAGAAGTGGAGGGACTGGAATAAACCTGGGAGCTGGGATCCCCGCTGCAGTGCCTGTGACTTCAGGGGAGCAGACGCCCATCCCTGCTTCACTGCCCCTCACTGAGGAACCTACACCTTTGAAATCAAGCCCACCCCAAAAGATCAGTTTAGCACAGAGTGACCCGGACAAAATCAAGCCACCAAAAGTGCTGTCACAAGAAAGGCCCCTTAAACTTCCATCTGAACTTGGCTTAGGAGAAGAGTTTACAATCCAAGTGAAAAGGAAGCCAGCACAAGACCCTGAGTTGGACTGGTTTGCAGACATGATCCCAGAAATTAAGCCTTCAGCCACGTTTCTTATTTTACCTGAACTGAGGACAGAAACAGATGATGTCTCGCCTGGGATGCAGTTTTCCTCAAAATTTGCTGCAGCAGAAATGAGTGAAGTGAGTAGTATTTTTTGGATTAAGCTTCTATTAATATTAAATCAAGGGTTTTCCCTCAGGTCCCAGTTCATAGTACCCAGCACGTTTTCCCAGTGAAAGGAAAGAAAGATTACTGTACATGGTGGTTAAAATGTTCAAGCTAAGCAAGTTGGTTCCTAGGAACAGCATTCTTTTTTCCCCAGGAGGAGGTGCCTGGGCACAGTCTTAGGCGATCTGGTTGTCGCATGAATAACCTTTTAACAAGGTTAAGCAAAAAGTAGTGTTACTACTGGATTATAGGGTTGTGAAAAGTTCTTCCAGGGCTAAGGTTCTCCCGTGCTGGAACCTAAGCAATCTTGCTTTTTCAGCTTTCACTTAGCATGAAGCACTATATTCTGGCATCAAAAAACAAGTGCTGGGTCTTGAAAAGTTTCCACATGTGGATATGATTTGTTCAGTGGGTTGCTGTTGGTGTGCTTTGTTGCAGGCAGAGGCTGAAGGCTGGGGAGAAGAAGGGGAGCTGAACTGGGAAGATAATAACTGGTGACAACGGGTATGAGCTGAACTTTAGGAGCAATGATTCCTTTAAAAAAAAAAAAATCAATACCTCAAAACCAGGCTGTGTGGACAAAACCCTTTTGCAGCCTGTGCTTCCTATGCCAGGAGCTCTCTTCACAGTCTGTGCCAACGGACGTGAGACCAACCTCAAGTGCTGACTGGACGCGCGGAGTGATCGGGAGGCTCAGCACAGGTTCCTGGGAGGAGGAGCCCGTGTGCATTTGACTGAGGCCAGTTTCCCTGAAGAGCAAGCGGGTGAGGCCAGGCCAAGCGGACTGCCTCTTCCAGGACAGTCCTGGAAGTCAAGACGATAAATATAAAACCCCAAACTGGTTAGCTTAATTTTGTGCCATTTCTTGAACAGTGAGGATAGTAGTAGTCTATTATGAAAATACGACTTAAAAAAATTTAGCTATAAATTACAAATGATTTAAATTGCTAAGGTCACCTTAGGCAGCTTATTTATTTGTTTACAGTAGTCCTGAGTAAAAGGCCCTTTGTGGACCTGGGCAGTCACTGACTGTTCACGTGTATTACATTGTACCAAAGTTCTTAATGAGAAATATCCCCCACAATCCTGTTCTCTACATGTCAATAAAGACTATTTTCACTAGATTCACCTTTACAAAAGCTGTTTTATATGTACTAGAAAATGTACAAACATAATTAAATCAGTGTTTTCATTTACAAAATGTCCTGGGAACTGAGAGAGGATCAGGCTTGGTCCTGTCTCCCGAGGATGCAGATGGTCAAGTTTCACCCTGGAGCATGCGTTTCACCTTCTCGATCCTTTCTTGCAGTGTCTCCACTTCCACTAGAAGCCAGGCTGGAGCAGGAGCCTTCTGCAGCAGGGACTCTGTTGTCTGCAGGGCCCCTGCTGCTACTCGCAGTGCCTCCCTGTGCTCTTCTTCCAGGGGGACCTCCTGGCGGGCTCTTTTTGCACAAGGCTGGAAAGGAGAGAAATGTGAGACCATAATGCCCATTCTAAAACCCCTCCTCGTCACTGATCACAAGGACAGGAGGGCAGGAGGGCCCTTCACCCCACCTGGTTATCTGGAATGCTACATGAAGATGCTTTGGTTTGTCACAGAATTCAAGATGTTAGTTACTACAAGTGTCCTGGTTTGTTGGGGGTGTACAGATCCTGTCCCAAAGGGCTCCTGATGAGAAGTGCTGCCCAGATCAGTAATTCCAGCAAGTACTCTTTATACAGAGCCAAGTCTGTCTTAGGGTCCCCCCGCCCCCACCAACACTTGTACTTAACTCGTTAAGAAAATGTCAGACTTCTACAGTATCATACATTGCACAGGGACGGGGATGAAGGGTGGGGGCCAACAGCTTCCTGAGGAGTGTCACAATAAATACATAAGGGACCTATTTCTACAACTAACATAATTGCACTTCAGAGATTTCAGAGATAAAAGTTAAATGTCTTACAGACAAGTTATCACCATAAACTACTGTTAGTGACAATTGTGACTAAAACATTGATCCTATTATATAGCTTATCCTTCCAAATGTATTTATAGTGTCCAAAACAATATTTTGAATATTAACAGTAGTGTCAACTTTCTGCTTTTCAGTAGGTAAATGTGATTCTTAACACACACCCAAAAATTATTAAGAGACTGGTTTGATGAATGAGGCAGGGACTGTCTAAACACTTTAAAAGGCAAGTGGTTTCTTTTGTGGTTCAACAACTACATTCTGTGTCCTGGGTACAGTTTGCAAACACCCCACCCCCGACCCCCATGGTTACTACCATTGAAAGGTATGTTTGGTACGATGTTTAAGAAGTTGTTTTCTCTAGCCTTCCTGTTCAGTGTGTTGGTGACCTTTCAGGCAGAATACATGAGATTTTCCAAAGAGCAACTACCATAAAACAGGAGAATTTTACATGTCTAGATCTGATTTGAAATTCAACATGAGGAAAAGCACTGAACCAAAACTACTTTGCTATATTAGTAAATAATAAGCACAGAGCTTCTTGGCGCACACTGGAAAGCAGCTCATACCTCTGAGGACGACCCCTTTGCTGCTTCTGCAGTCATGTTAGCAAAGGGTTCCCAGAAAATGTCTTTTTCCTGTTTCACACGTTCCACTTTGGCAGCTTCGGTTTCCTCCACAAACCTAGTCTGCCAAAGACCATGAAGAGCCGAGGAAACACCAACAGATTAGCATTCTCCACTAGATGGCAAACGGTGTGATATTCAGATGATGAAAAGATGAAGTCACTTAACCTGTGGGCTCATGGGGCGTGGCTAAAAACCCCTCTACCGTGTTTTCTCTGCCCTACAGCCTTCTTTCAAGAAAAAACGGTGGTCTGCCAACCTTTACTTAAAAAATAAGCTAAGCCAAGAGCAGACTGGCAAGAGAGATGTGTTCATGGACTTAAAAGTAAAGCTTAGATGTAACACAAGATAGGTGTCAGATGTGAGATATGTGAAGTATGTCATACATGCAGGTGTACTTACGTATATTAAACATATAGTCCGGTTTAACAATGGGCACAATATTAAATTAAGTGCTTATGAATAATTTTTCTTGGATTTGTGACCTTAGAATTATTTCCATTAGTACTCCCAACTATCCCTTAAATTACAACTTGGTGATAGCACCATCTTAAAGTTTTCAAAGTATATACAAACATGGGATCCCTATGATTCAAAATTTTGGTTCTAAATGTAAAAATGCCTTAAATATAATGTCACTATCTTGGCCTCAATCATTGAACAAAAGCCTAAATTATACTTAAACTACAATAACAGACCCTCAGAGCCTATATAATTAGCTGCATCTAATTATGATTCGTAACAGTAAAGGGACCCCCACGTGTCATCTTGCTGCCTGGACTATCAGTGCCACTCTATCCCAAACTACAGAGGGACTTCAGGAGTTTCACTTCTCTCACTTGTAATATGTTCTCAATTGTTTTAAGTGCTTGGAACTGAAGTGTCTTGGAGTTTTTACCCCCATACACTAAAACACTTTGCAGATGGGACCCAAGTCTAAAAACAAAATCCATTTATTTATATTTCATGTGAACTTTAAACACTATAGCCTGAAGTTAATTTTATGCAAAATTTTAAATGATTTTGTATATGAAGTAGTTCTATGGTATGGAGTTTTCTACTGTGGCACTCAAAAAGTGTTAGATTTCAGAGTATTTTGGATTAGGACTGCTCTGAGCATTCTGAAAAATTTAAGCAAAGTTGGTTATAATTACAGTTTCAGAAAAGAAAAGGTAATTCCATAATAAATACCTTCTCCAGAAAGGATACAACTTTGTTTCTAGTTTCTTCAGAACTTAGACACTGTGGAACTATTTCTTCATGATTTGTTCCCTATTAAAAGATTAATAAACAAGATCAATTTTAAGATTATTTCAACAACTTGCAAAGACAAATGAGTTGTAAGAGCTACCTTATTAAAACTTTAAGAAAACAGTGCTATGGGATGTTCAAAGGCAGCGAGCTCACAGTCGGCAGTATTGCCGCAGTGCAAGTCTAGTGTTGAGACTTCCCCTCTGCTCAGCCACCAGAGGAGAAGCAGCCCAGGGAGGAGTCACCTTCCCTAGGACCCAAACCAGCAGGTTTCGGTTCTTCAGCTCAGGACAGTTCAGGATGAGATGTACCATCATTCAACCCCAAAACACTGTCTGCGTCCGAGTTAGTCAAGCCACTGTGAAGGCCTGTCCAGGGCTCGCTGATGATTTCAGAACCTCCCACTTCTCTAGGCCTTATCTGAGATCCTGTAGAGCACGCGACTCATTTCCCCCAGCAGAAAGTTTTACAACTAAGGTGCAGAAGCAGCTCTGTAAATAATTTTTGGACCTTCTTTGGTCGTGACTGACAAGTCCGGGTTATAAGTAATTACCTCAGCAAACTGGGTAAAAGCCTCCAAGGTATGTTGCTCTAGCAGCCAGTTCCTGTCAGCTAGCAGTAAGCCAAGAATACAAGACAAGCTGGGCAGAATTTTGTCCTAAAAAAGAGAACCAAACCTTATTAACTACAGAAGAAGAAACCCAGTAGAGTACATTCAGATGCCCACAGTTGCCAGCCTTCTAGATCCCTGTCCTGCTGAAGGTGTGTGCCCAGCATGGCGGCTCACTGCACTCCTGCGCTCAGTCCTTCCCATAGCTTCCCTAACATGAGGCCTGCTCCCACCTGGAGGCCCACGCTTGCTGTTGCCAGTGCCCAGACGACTCTCCCAGATGCTGTGTGGCTAGTGCCTCGCATACTTCCCTGTCACCCTCCCCCAGTGAGGACCCCTCTGACTCCCCTCAGATGGGGCCCCTGTCCCCCTTGCTTTGTTTTCTTTAACAGCATCACTTCTGTTTAACGTGCTGCCTGGCGAGGCAGAGACTGGGGACTTGCCATTTACTAGTTCATTGTATCACCTGGGACTAAAACAGCACCCCAGGGCCGGGCTGCAGTGAGGCACTGGGTTCAATCCTCAGCACCACATAAAAACAAATAAATAAAATAAAGGTATTATGTCCACCTACAACTAAAACATATTAAAAAAAAAAAAACACCTGGCGACAACCACTCATTCATTTTCTTGAATGAACAAATGAATCAAATGAATCCATCTTATCTCATAGCTTTAAATGTCCCATGTGCTCAGAAATCCTCAAAATTTCTTCAGGCCCTGGCCTCTCCCCAGAGAACGTATCAGGCATTGCAATTTCTGGTGATAAAACATTTGTTCCACAGGTTCTGGCCCACGCAGGGTTCACAACTGCACGAATAGAGCAGCACTTTGGGATAAGCCAGCTCAAGTGCAAATATCTTTGGATACTTTTGCCAAAAGAATTGGAAAGAAGCTGTCAACATCTACACTTGTGACTACAATGACGTGATAGAAACAGACGGCATACTGACATTTATTTGTGAATAAACAAGAAGTCTTTAGAAATTAATGTTTTGATGCCAAAGATTTTTAATTAACAGCATGCTTGGATTATAAAATAAAGGCCTTAATTTTGAGCTCTTTTTTGTAGACTTTCTCTTGGAGGTAAGATTAAAAAAAAAAGTCAATTATCTAAAATCGCTGGAATTTCAGCAATTTTAGTCATACAGGAATAAGGAAGGGAAAACTCTCCATTTATGAGGAGCTTCTTTTGCTTTAAGGTCTGCTTTAAAACTCAGTAGGCATGCATTGCCAGGCCACTGCAGATGACCTTGTAAGCGAGCAGTCACAAGTCAGCTGTAAGTGGGAAACATTTTCTACAAGTCTTTCAAAACTAACAGGTGCCCATTCATGAATACAAAGCCTAGAAAAATAATTTCTATAAATGAAAATTTTTCTAATTACACTGTTGGACAGAAGGCATGAAAAAGCTTTCTGCCTTCAGAAACTGTAGCTGAGCCCAACTGGTATGAGCATCTTCTGACTCAGACTACAGATGAACTATCTGTATGTCTACGTATTTTTCTGAAAGAAAATGAGTTGTTTTGACAGTCACCTTCTCTTAAGATAAATGTTTCTTTCCCCCTCTTCACTGCCAGTAATCCACAAAATTTCAGAAGTCAAAAGTCCTTCATCATCAAATTCAGCAACGTAGGCAGGATACCTAATCAACGTAGCTCTCCTATCCACTAATAACAAGCTGCTGAGAGATTTTTTTATCAGTACAGGAACAACAATTAACAATATTATTACCTGGACAGCTTGAGGTATAAAAAGTTTTCCTAGAGAAGATACAAAATCCAACATTGCCAAACGCACATGGTCAGGAGGCTCCGATTTAAGCAGGGAGGTCTGCAGAGTCACTACCTGTGGAAACGAAAACCACAGCCGTGAGTGGGAGCAGCACTGTGCAGACAGGCGCCCACCTCAGACGTGGAGAAGCCATTTCAGGATCCTGGCCACACTCCTGCCTCCCAGCCTGGGGGCAATCCCCATGTTCCCAAAAAAAGACCACACACCAAACCTTAAAATTATTTTGTATTTTAAATTCTACTGAGAGAAGTTCACTATTTAAAGCCAAGACTTGCAAACTTTTTCTGTAAGTTAGGGCTAAACAGTTACTACTTTAGGTTTTGCAGATAACATAATTTATACCTGTATGAACAATTACACTGGAACCTTACAACTTTTTTTGGATATTTTTTAAAGATGGGCATACATTTTTAAGATTATCAGTAATTTTTCAAAAAGAATATCAAAACTTTCAGAACCAGCAAATTCAAATTACGAACACTCAATGAGTCAATAATTTTACTGTATTCTCATTTTACTTTAGAAATCCATGTGATAAAATAGTAAGAAGAGTACACCTACTAGTAAGTACCTAAGCTAATTTCTCTACGTACATGTCATTGACAAGAGTTGCTAAAAACAAAGCCACTGCTGGGTTCAGTTCTTTCTGTCCCACCCCACCACATTCAAAATGACATGTCATTTCTTCTATCATCTTCCTAAACAGGAAGAGTTACTTTCTAAACAGTTTATGTTTCCCCTTGACCTGAGCTAAAGCTAATCCCTGACTTGGAGGACGGATTCTGTGCAGTATGGACTTGTTCCAAAGCCGCTAAGTCGTTTCAGACAAGATGAAGGCATTCCCATCTTCATCTGCTCAGTCTCTAAGGAAGGGCGTAACTGGAGCACCACAAGGGCCCCCCGACAGTGGCCCAGGCTCTGCGCTCCCCACCAGACGGGACCCAGCAGCACTCCTCTCCTTGGTAATGCTCCTTGGTCCGCAGCTGCGCGGGGTGCCTGGGAAGAGGCTGGGGTGTGGGGCTCAACTTGGGAATTGACTCCCAGCCTCAGGGCTTATTTTGGGCAGTTTAACAGCAACCACAAAAGTTCAGACTGCTCAGTAGTGAAAAAATGTTTCCCTTTTCCTGAGGTGACAGAGAACAGGGAGAAAAAGGCTGGGACAACTGGAGGAGGAAGGCTGAGACGTGCCTGATAAGAAGCCGGAACCAAGACACTCACGTTCAGTTTAGCAAAGAAGATGCGACACAAAGGCAATGAGCAGTAATGAGGACTTCCTCGGAAGTGACACTCCTTGGTCACTATTCTTACCTGACTTATGAGCTGAGGATCTAGAGTCTGAATGAAAAATCCCAACAGAGGGAGTAAAAGGCTGAATGTCTGCTGAACACAGGGCTGATCTATTACCTTAAATGAGAAAAGATGGTTTTAGTGAAGATTTCACTATGTACGTGTCATCGACAAGAGGTGCTAACAACAAAGCTATTGCTTTCAGTTCTTTCTGTTTGACCCCACCACATACAAAATGATGTCATCTCTTCTATCACTGTCCTAAACAGAAAGGTTAGTTTCTTAAACAGGAATGGCCTCTAACAGTAGCAACTTTTCATTGAGCACTTATTATACACCAGGCAACAGGCTTCGTGTTTTATGTTTATTACCTCACCTATGCCTCATGATACCTCCATGAGGAGAGTTTATCACCTTCACTTCATTATTAAACTGGGTCACAGAAAGTAAATAATTTGCTCAAGATCACCTGGCTAGGAAAAAAATCCATGATTCAATCCAAGATTCAAGTCTAAAGGAGATCTAATTACTTTTGTCTGCCACTGTAAACTTGTATGCTCCCTAGTGTTAAAATTCCATTTCTTCACAACTATTGTTTATGTCACACTATAATAAACTATATCCATCCCTAGCACAGAAAGGCCGAGTGAATATTTACTGAATGATGTGTGAGCATTGGAGGAAAGCATTGTTGAAATTAAAAATGCTGTAGGAAGGTAATCTGACCACTGATGATGAAACAGGATCTGCAAAATCATTTCGGTTATTTCCCAGAACTATAAATGCTGACTGTTTCCATAAGCTGCTACAGATCACATATTTATTTCCACCTTTGACTACAAAGAAAACAGAACATACTGAGATTTTTAAATTAAGAAACTTAAGTTTCCAACCATGTGTAGGAAGTTATCATTCTAATTTTGACTTGATGGCTTAATCTTTTGGCTTTGCTAGGAAAGAGGAATACAAAGTAGCCACGAGTGCTCTGACCCACTCCATGCCCAGAAGATCTTATGAGAGGCCCGAGAATCAGAGGCAGACTATGTCAGCCCAAGAGAAAACAGAAACCAATAGCGGAGGAAATTTTTAAAACAGGGTCCAACAAGCCATAAGAATAGATGGTCACTGTGAAATTTACTAGATTGTTACCATAACTCCGTAACACTCTGAAAAAGAACTGCCTGAGTGTACATGTCAGTGCTTTCAGTTTGAATCACAAGTAGCTTCTCAATAAAATAGACATATTTTACTTTCCAGGGAAATTTTCGTCCTGTTCTCTTTTCAATATTTAAAATTTCTTCCAGAAAATGATTATTTGCTTCAGTTACCTGTTTAATGTTTAAAAAAGCCCAAAGCTGACTCCCAACTTCCATAATTGCAGTTTGTTGCCCAATATCCAAAGTCTCACCAGCAGAATTACATACAGCAAGCAAAGCAGAGAGGACTGCGTTCTAAATTGAAGAGAAGGAGAAAAGACCCGAGTTCAGAAACCAGTTGGACTAAGGACCAGGAGCCCAATCTTTCCCATAGGATATGTGAGTTACTTAGAGCTCTTCACAGAAATCCACGTGGAGTGACGCCAAGAGCCAAATCCATCTTTCTAGTGATTTATTTAATACAAATATGTTTTTATTAAAACTAACTTTCCTTATACACAGAAACATTTGCTTTTTATTTTTCTACATTTTTTTTCCTTTCAGGCTGAAAACGTAACAACTTAAAACAGTACTATATTTTAAGTAATTGTTTGTTACTTTTTTGGTACCAGGGATAAACACAGGGGTGCTTAGCCATTGAGCTACATCCCCAGCCCTTTTTTAAATTTTTTACTTTGAGACAGGGTCTCACTAAGTTGCTGAGACTGGCTTTGAACTTGCAATCCTCCTTTTTCAGCCTCCCAAGCCACTGGGGTTACCGGGTGTGTGTGCACCCCTATGCCCAGCTGAAGCTACTGTATTTTAATGAACAGATTTGAGCAGTGGCCAGTGTGGTCAGCCTAATTTAAATTACTGTGCATTCAGTAATCTTTACAGGTTACTAGATTTTTATTGTTCCTATTATTTTAAAATTGGAGCTTTCTCAGCAACCCTACATTTAATAACCAAATGTAGTACTTAGGAAGTATACTACTTGGAAGCTAAAACTTAAAACTGTCTTTTCCAGACTCACTGTTGTCTACGGTTACACTCAAATCTCCTTCTAGACAGGATGGAGCTGTTGGTGGTGTGGTGTGATGGGGGTAGGGGTGAAGGCCATATAAGAATCTAATAGTAGCAATGATTTTTAATACATTAAACAACCATACTTTACTTTATGTAATTACCATACAGCTCCTTATTTAATATTTTTCTACTTCCTTTTAAAAATAAACATGTCAAAAACCTGCTTAACAAAATTTTTGGTCATACTTTAAAGGATGATTCAATTTTAGAAAATTGGTGATTTTTCCTAATATAAAATAAAAGAACGTTTGTCTCTCTTAGAGAAAGTAGTGCACATTAAGAGACTCAGCCTCTGCCAGCCAAGCTAGCTGGGCACTATAAATTAGTGCACATAAAATACAAAAATGTGACCCACTTCCTAACTAGGTATTTAACAGTTTTTCTAAAACAAAGGCATATAACAGCTTCCCTTGGATATATGTAAGTATCTTAAGTTATCATAATACTTAAGTACCATTACATAGAATATTAGAACATTTACTGTCAACATGGAAGCCCATATCCTGAGAAAACCCTAAACTCTTCAAATTGTCTTTGAATGTCCTGCTGCTATCCTTCCTTGATTTTTCTCCAATTACCTTCTGCTACATGTACCAAATCTAGTCAACTTGCTTTATCTTAGTTACGTATTTTCTACTCCTTACAGTACATGAGTCTCTTTTCCTGTGAGAGTTAATATACTTTTTATCTTTATAAAACATATATAGTTTTTATATTTTATAAGGGAACATTCTAAGTAGAAAGATCCATAAAGGCTCAGGGGGGCGTCATAAAATGGAAGTTGTATGTTGTTAAACCCATCTGTCTACTGCAGAGATATGTCAGCAAAAGTACCACAAATTAAGTATCCAGTTTCAACATGTCTTGAGTAACAGAGGGAACACTGCCCCCAATATAATTTACACAATCCAGACGTTAAGCTTCTCAGAGATCCCTACCAACCCAAAAACCTTGCTGGGACCTAAAAGCAGAGTCTGTCTTCTTATCACCAATCTCAAGCAGAACTCAGTGAACAGCTGATGAATTAAGTGACTCATCAAAATCACCTTACCAAAGAGCTGAGCTCTCCCAGAGTGTGATTGCTGCCCAGCCACTTCTTGCACTCTGCAACACCCACTGTGGCCACTTCACGCACAGCCTGTCTCCTCAGGTCAGTAGATAACGCCTGGAAGGAAATACACTGCCACACAGGCACATTTTCTGCTTCTTTTGGAGGAAATTTTTGGACAAACTCCACCTGAAATAAATCATTAAGGAAACCAGAGTAACATCAGACAATTGGATGATGAGATGCATGAGAACCAAGAATTAATTTCCATATTTAATATATAAAAAAGCATTTTGGGCTGGGGATGTAGCTCAGTGGTGGAGTACTTGCCTAGCATGTATGAGGCTCTGAGGTCAACGCCCAGAACCACCACCAAAATTTAAAAAAAAAAAAAAAAAAAAGTAAATAAATAAATAAAATATAAAAATAAAAAAGCATTTTGACTGCACAGTAACATCACTAGGTATTGACCAACGTCACCAAAATGAGCATGCATTTGTTTCCAAAATGAAAAAGTTTAAATGAAGCATGACATAAATGCACTAAGAAATGTTAAATAGTATATTTCATTATTAGTCACATCAGATACTTTATCTTGTTCCTACCCATTAGATCTAGTAGTTTCCTAAATACTCCTCACCTTGTAAAATCATAAGTAATATTCCAGTATACCCCACGCTGACTTAGCCAGCCCTTCCAGCTCGGTACTTTCTCAACTGACCACAGTAAAGAATACAGAGAAGCACATGGGTCAGCTTGCTGTGTTCCTCTTACAGGACATACCATACGGTTGCACAAGGCAAGCCACACATCAGGTCCATCCCACCACTGAGATGATAATTCAAAGAGGCATGGATTAATAAGAAACAGTACTGTTTTATTAAAATTCAGGAACCAATAGACTACACAAAAATGGGAAACACAGTTCTAAAAACAGTTAAAAATATCAGTTTTGGTGGAAAAAACAATGGTGCACTTAATTACTAAAGTGTAATTCAACTAGGAAATATATTAGTGTATTTTTTAAAGAAATGAAACAATTCAATTTATATTATCTAAAATGGACTTATTATAGGAAACTCTTCCTACATCAAAAACTTTTAAAAAGTCCCCTAAGAGTCCCCAAATTTGATAGTGCCAGGCACAGTAGCACACGTGCCTCTAATACCAGCAACTCAGGAGGCTGAGGTAGGAGGATCCCAAGTCTGACACCAGCCTGGGCAACTTAGAGACCCTGTCTCCAAATAAAAAATAAAAACCCACATGGCTTCAGGGAAAGCAGAGAACTGTGCTGACTGGTGAACGGGCTCCTGTGGGAGGGAAGCACCTCATGTGGCACAGTCTGTTTTCCTCGGTGGCAAAGGCTCACCATACTAGAAATTTTCCCTTAGATGTTCAACTTATTTACTATGAAAAAGTAGAAAACATCGTTCAGAACATAACATTCTAGCTCCTCAAAGAACAAAGGATATAGAGCCATTTCACTGCATATTTTTCAAACATATAAGGAAAATGATACACTTCAGGAGGATGGAATTAGAGGAATTAATTGTAACTTGAAGCAAAGGTGTCAAAAACGACAGTGCTAAAAGCAATAAGCAAAGCCATCAGTTGGTTAAAAATTTATGATTAGAAAAAAACTAATGCTCAGATCATGCTGACACTTAAATTGTGAATAAAGGAAGGGAAGAATGAACTTAGCACTCAGCAGCTGCCCAAAGAGGATGGCAAAGATGGGGTCCTTGCCTGGTGGGGAGGGGCCATGAAGAAAAAGAGGCGCTTCAACAGCACTGACAGGTTGATGAATTGATGGCATTCTCCAGGGCAGGATTTTATCTGGAAAAAGGCAGGAGGGAGAGAAGAGGCTGATTTAAAAGCAGACTTGTGGAAACTTTTTAAGATCTAAGGTACCAGGAAAGCTTTTATTAAAAGAAACCTGACATATGAAAATCAACTGACAGGGCTCGATATTGTAGCTCAGTGGTGAAATGCCTGCCTAGCATGTGTGGGGCACTGGGTTCAATCCTCAGCACCACATAAAAAGTAAATAAATAAAGATATTGTGCATCCATTTACAACTAAAAATATATTTTAAAAAATAAATAAAGGTATTGGTCCATTAACAACAAAAACAAAAACAAAAAATCAACTGACAAAAATCAGTGTGTTTTGTGTAGGATATGTGAGAGGTTTAGTACAGTAAGATCTAGACTATCAGCCACAGAGACATACCTGTTGGCCATTATGCATGTTCAGACTTCACTGGATTTAGTCTGCAGAATCCTTAAAAGGTAAACCAAGAGCTAGGTGCACTGGGGCACATCTGTAATCTCAGTGACTGGAGGGCTAAGGCATTTGAAGCCAGCAAGACCCTGTCTCAAAAGGGAAAATAAAAAGGGTTGGGGGTGTAGCTCAGTGGTAGAGTGCCCCTGGTTTCAATCCCTAGTACCAAAAAACAACAACAGAAAAAAACAAAAAAAAAAACAAAACAAAACAAAACAAAAAACCAAGAAATGTAACACAATCATTCTACAAAGAAACAAAACAAAAGGTGGATGATGGGTTCACATAAGATCTTTATCAAATGCCAAAGGAAAAAATACAACAAAAAGATCATAAGGCCATAGTCATCTCACATGGAACACATCAAACACCTCAATTTAAAAGCAAAAAACTGTGGACATTAAAAAGGTTAAAAGAATCACTATTAAATCATTTTCTCTGTATACCCACTGACAAAATAGGACTTCTTCTCCTAAAGCATTGATTAATTGTCAAACTGTCCCTCTCTCAAAGCATGCTGGCTGAGAGAAGTACAACAAGATCAAGAGTCAGTGACATCATACAGAAAAGACAGAAGGGAGAACTCCTGGCCAACAATGTTACAACCAACACTTATTTAAAATTGATTCACACTTAATCTTATCTTTCTTTCCTAGAACAATTAGTGGAACTGAATTTAAAATTTCGAAAAAAACAAAATTTCCCTAGTTTTATGCAAATTACACTAATAAATAGCATGTTGTTATAACATCTTTCTCAATTCACCAGCATTAATGCAGAGCAAAGAAACTGTCAAGACAATTTCACTACCAGACTGGTTTTCCTTATGCTATTCACATTCTTCAACAATGTCATATCCTCAGAGAAAACATATGCAAAGTGGATGTCTCACTCACTAGATGAGCCACAATGGTGACATGGTATGCACAGAGCTCTGCAGTCCCGTATCTGCAATACAAAACAGAAGGCTGTCATTTTTCTTCAATTATTCAGAAAAGGAAGGAGATAAACTTTCAAAAAGCACTAAATACTATGATGAGGACATCGAAACTACTTAAAGGTTGAATATACCTCATCCATGTTAGGACCAGAAGTGTTTCACTCAGGATTTTTAGTATTTACTTAGTCAAAATGAGATATTTTAGGGGTGGGACCAAAGTCTAAACAATAAGCTCATTATGTTTCATATACTCCTAGCCTGGAGGTAAAGTTATGCCAAAATAATCTTGTACATAAAACAAGGTTTCATGGTATGGCATTTTCCACTTGAGACATCATGACAGTGCTCAAAGTTTCACTGATTCAGGAGTGCGCATCCCATTTTTCTGGCTAAAGAATATCACAAAATTACTACTAAATGCTTATCTATGGGCTTGTACCAAAGAAAGGAAAGAGGAAACTTGCTTCCTATAATTTAGTGCTGTGATATCAAGTCAAACCATTTTGAGGTGCTATTAATGGACTACTACTCACAATTATAGAATCATTTATTGTCAGTCACTACTAAAAAACCCCCAAACACCAAAATGCTAAGTATTCTGTACCGAGCGAGGAAGCACCATGCATCCATTGCCAACAAGGAGGTGATCAAATTAGCACTAAGCACAGCATTCAACAGAGCAGCATCCTAATGGAAAACAAAAAGTTAGCTCATAAATATACTAAAGTGCATGATAAATTATCATTAACATTACATTTCTCCACAAGAAATCATTATCGGAATATAGTAACAGATTCTCAATGACAATGTTTTAATTTCTAATATCACAAAGAACCTATGATGACATTCCCTCAGCATTTAATAAGCACCAAATATATGTTAATCATTGGGTCAGGCCACAGAGAATCAAAACTGGTTTTACATGTGGTAATTCAATCATTAGGACCCACAAGAATTCTTTAAGTAGCCTAAAATCTTTAAAGCAATGGAAATAAAATATATGCTAGTTTTTTTCCTGCCTTTAACTACTCATACAAAATATTTAATATATGATAGCCATACCCACTGTATAATATCTTAACTAATTCTGATCCTTCATTAAATTCTAGGAACTTTCCTAGAATTTAAAAAAGTCTCTCTTCTAATCCAATTCTATGAAAAATAAAAAACATGCACATTATGTCTAAGGTCTATTTACTTCTTTTATGAAATTAAATAAAATTCTATACAAGTTCTCCTCTACTCACAATGTTTTATCATACTTTCCACTCAAAATGTTTCCCCAAGTATTTTAGCTATTTAATCTAAAATCTATAGGAATCGAGGATTACATTCCAAGACAACCAAGTTAAAGGATAAAATATGCAGTTGAGGGAATAATCATTAACTTTCTTCTACACTTGAATCACAATTTCAGTGAAAAGAGCAGAAGTGTAACTCCACTTGTCCCAGCAAGCAACATGCTCACCAGCTCAGGAAACAACGAGGGATGAAAGGAAGCAATGAAGGCACACAGATGAACACAAACATGCTGGTACAAGGTGACAGCCACCTCAGCTTTCCCTTTTCTCTGCACTCCCTGCAAATGAACAGGTAGAGAGAGTTCACCAGAACACTGCTCGAAACTGTGGAAAATGGCCGTGAGTAGAGATCTCCTGCAGGGAAGTCAGAACATTGAACCCAATATTAATAGCACTTATTATTTAGCAGGTAAAATAATAATATATCACAGGGAAGGTTATTTTAGCAAGGCAAGATCTCAAGAGATACAATCAGTAATAGCTGCTAATATATGTGAACATGCACACATGAAATATATTCACTGTTAGAATAAGTTACAAAAGGGAGAAGAATTTTCTTGGACATGATTTTCATCATTCACCAACTTGTTTATCATGCACTGAGTTATACAAAGTCAAAGTTCCTCAGGGAACTGGAAAGAAAGCCAAATTAACTATTTAGATATAAGAAAGAAAACAATATTATATATAATTCAGACAGGGAGGAGCCATTTTAAGATAGAAATGGTGGAGGAAACTTTCATAAAGGATTTAAATAGCAAATTAAAAATAGGTAAAATATAAATAGGTAAAGACAACGAAGCATGTATAAAAAGGCAGACTCAGCTCACCACTTTGATGTGTGTGTTAGAAAGGAGGAGAGGATGAAGAGAAAAAGCAGAGGATGGCTTTGAAGGCAAAACTGAGAAGTTTTGAGCAGGAGAAAAGAAAGTTCAGAAGGGGCTGGAGAAAGGGGTAGAGAACTGAAGCATAACAATAACCCAGGGAGCGAGGCACTTTGGCCTGGGCCACGGTGTTGCTGGGAGACGGAGGACACTGCAGTTCCCAGGAACTACCTGGGAATGCCCCTCATTGGGCTCATTTTATATGCCCCTGTTTGCATCTACTCTACCACAGTCAGTGTTCATGGCCACTGTTCAGAGACCAAAATATTTTTAGTATCTGTTACAGATAGATATACTTATAGCTATTTTTATGAAGTAGTTTTTCTACATAGTGACTATTAACTAGAATATCTGACATAGAAAATATTTAATTTTAAGACCATTCCATACAATAAGGTATTCTAAACTAAGAGTAATAGACAGGACTGGACAGGAACAACACATTTGCTACCTGGCTGCAGCTTCTGGGACCTGGCCTTCGGTGCACCACAGGGCCTGCACGTCTTCAGGCTGAGAGGGCAGCTTCTCCATGACAACCACCAGGAGTAGGCACTGTGGGAGCTGGAGCTCACAGGGCAAGTCTTCCAGGTGTGGAACCAAGTTACACATTAAGATCCAACAAATTGCTAACAGCATGCCCAAAATATTTTCAGCAGAAATTTGATTGTGTTACATAAAGAAATTAGAAGCATGATATTTTTAAATGAGAAATGTTCAATAAAAGTAGAGGGAATTTTTTTTTAGTTGTAGATGGACACACAATATCTTTTTTATTTTTATGTAGTGCTGAGGATGTAATCCAGTGCCTCACACATGCGAGGCAAGCGTTTTACCATTGAGCTACAGTCCCAGCCCCAGCAGAGGGAATTGTTTTTTTAAATTTTTTTTTTAAGTTGTAATTGGACACAATATCTTTATTTTATTTATTTATTTTTTATGTGGTGCCGAGGATTGAACCCAGCACCTCACATGTGCTAGGTGAACACTCTACCTCTGAGCCACAACCCCAGCACCCCCAGTAGAGGGAATTTTAAATAAATAATTTTTGAATTCTATGAAAGAGGGACTACATGAGGGGAAATACCCATATCTAATATGTCATAATTAACAGGAGATGACTTAACATTAAATCTGCTTTGTAGCTTACCTGATTTATTGTCCAAAACTGCTTGTGCGAAAGGCTGGACCGTGAGCAGCTGACTCACCAGTGTATCCAAGGTCACCAGGAAAGCCCCAGCTATTTCTTCCTGCTGTGCTTTGGAGATGCTGGCTGCATACAGGCTTGGAGGGAACTTGCTGGAAAGAACACAGCTCATTAGCAGCTACCTTCTCAATTCAGACAAAAGTAAGTTCTACAAACTAAGGTTCCAGCAGTAAAAAAATGCATATTTTACATCTGTTTCTATAAAGCAGCAATATACTTGAAGTACTGAATTGATAGTAGAATGTATGAAGACCTCTGAACTAAATGTTACATAATTCTATAAAATTAAAAAGTTCACAATCTTGGAGAAATCCTTATAAGTGTCTTTTTTTGTTTTCATTTTTGTTTGTGTGTTTGTTTGCTGTGCTAAGGGTCAAACCCATGGCTTTGTGCATGCTAGGCAAGTGCTCTACCATTAAGCTACATTCCCAGGCCTTTAGTATTGTTTTGATGCATTTTAATACCATTTGACAAAAACAGGGTAAGTAAAATACAAACACTAAATCAACAAGTGGAACACTGTGTGTGTGTGTGTGTGTATTAAAAAGATACTCCTGACAAATTCTGGCTTCATTTTATGTCTATTAAAAGTTGTTTTGGGGATGCAGCTCAGTGGTAGAGTACCTGCTAGTGTGTGTGAGGGCCTGGATTCAATCCCATATACCACAAAATAATGGGTGTGCCAGATAGAAGCTAAACTTTGAAAGCTAACTTTTAAGCTAGCACCCAGAGACAATAAAACTCCAGAAAATAGTCACTTTCTGTGATTATGATACACAAAAAATAAAAATGAACTTGAAAACATTTAGCCATTATATCTTGAGCTATATATTTTTATATCATCCTCTCTCCCCTCTCTTTTGGGACTAAACTTACATGTATGTGAGTTTAATTTATGTTATCACAAATGTAACTGTGTGCTATTCTGCCCTTTTCTGTGTTCAGTCAGGAAGTTCTACTAACTTAATTTTAAGTTTGCAGTTCCTTTCTTCTATGTTTAATCTGCAAATAAACCCACAAAATCAATTTTAATTTCAAATAAATAAAATTTCTAAATCTATCAAATAAAAATTTTTTTTGCCTTCATTATTACCACCACATCAATTATTTATTACTTGTGTATCACGTAAGTAAACTCACATGGAATCCACCCTTCACAAGATTCCCTCTCTACTTATTTTTTTTTTTTTTACCTGTGTAACTGAAGATAAAGCTGATGCAATGTGCCACAAGAATCAGAAAGGAAAGGAAGAAATTCCTGAAATAAAATAATTTTTCAATCTTTGTAAGCAATATGACTTTCTAATACATATCTTGTCCCAAAAGCATGCAAATAAAATAAAATCCTAGATATGCCACATTAAAAAAAATGTACATGATCATAAAAAGAAAGATGAGGCTGAGCAGGTACATAAAATTCTTTACCATTACAAGTACCATCCTAACTACAGCTAGCAGCTATCACTTACTGAGCACCTACTATGGAACCACAATAGTACCAAATGATGTTACATACAGTACTTTCAGTCTTATCAAAAAACTTACTATATATTATTATCCTCATTTTACAAAATAGAAGATTGAAGCTCAGATATCAATAACTTCATCACGTAGCTAAATAAGACTGGGATTCAATCCAAGTGTGATTCCTCTATCCATTATGACTATCTCTTAGAAACTAACAGTGTAGACAGACAGACGTGGTGTGTGCCTATAATGCCAGTGGCTCAGAAAGCTGAGGCAGGAGGATCGCAAAGTTTAAAGCCAGCCTCAGAAACTTAGCAAAGTCCTAAGCAATTTAGTGAAATCCTGTCTCAAAAAATAAAAATAAAGGGCTAGGGATGTGGCTCAGGGATTAAGCATCCCTGGGTCCAATCCCTGGTATATAAAAAAGAAACTGTTATATGGAAATAAAAATGTAAGACAGGGCATAATTACAGAAAATTTTACCTTCTATTCACCAAGCGAATCTTAGATGGGTGACTGCCCCTCAAGTGCCACTGGTGCACTTCCCAAGTGTACCTCTGCCCCTGGACCCTGGAGTAAGACCCCGCAAGCTGCAGGAGCCCAGCGTAAGAGGCAGATGACTACTGAGAGGTGAATGCCAGAGGACCAACAGAGTCCATACACAAGCAGAAAACAACACACTAGGGCCAGTGTGCTGGGCGTGGCCAGTGTGCTAGGCAACATACTCAGTCCACTCCGCCAACTCAGGTGTCACTGCCGTTCCCATGACTTCCACTCTTACAGTTACTACAGTTTCAAAGTCTGGACATTTAAACTTTAACAAACTAATTTAGAAATGTGTAGAAATAATTTTTAATGGTATTTAAAGGTAAATTGAATTATTTTCTGAAAAATCAATTTATGCTTATGAAAATATTTTTTTCAGATGTGAATAAAAATAAAAATGATAGTGCATGAGGGTGCATGGCTATAATCCCAGCTATTTAGGAGGCTGAGGCAGGAGGATGGCAAGTCTGAGGCCAGCCTCAGCAACTTAGTGAGGTCCTAAGCAACTTAGTGAGACCATGTCTAAAATAAAAAATAAGAAGGGCTAGGGATATAGTCCAGTAGTAGAGCACCCCTGGGTTCAATCCCCCCAATTACACACACATAACAATGACGATGGGAACAAGTTAAATAATACAATAGATATTCAATATTTAACAACTAATAACACAAAACCATTAACAACCATTCAAAATATACTTGATAAAATAACTTCAAAAGATTAATTTTGGTAGGAATAGTAATAACAGGACAATTTATAATTTAGTGTAGATTTTACATTTATGCATTATAAAGAAAAGAGCCTTTACCTTAGTGTAATGCAAAAGGGAGTTGGCAAAGAAACGACATAATTTAAGTGTTTTCTGGAATAATCTGTAGTCAGTATTATCCTGTTCCAGAAAAAGGACATAAGGAGTTATAATAAAAATACAAATATGTAATTAGTTAAACTTACAAATGAGGTATTTTCTAAAAACACCTCTTAATAAATATAGAGTATAAAAATTTCCCAAGAAAACATTATTATTCTCTAATATTTTGGCAGGAGCATATAAACACACACTAAATGACAAGAGATGTATTTAAGAAAATAAAATTCTACATGATTCTATTAGTAGCCTAATAGCAAAGAGGCAATCTTTCTTGTTGATTTTAAAGGGAAAGAAATTTAAATAATTTATTATTCATTGCTATACAGGAATCAAGTTAATAGTCAAAAGAAAAAGGTCACTAATATATAAAAGACACGAAAAGGTAGTTCTGAGAAAAGAAAAAACAACCAATCAATAACTAATACTGAAAAAACCAAAATGACCACCCAATCCCCATTATCATGTGAGAGGGGGAAGGACAGAGGGCTATTTGATTAAAAAGCCAAAGAGGAAAGAGGTTGACAAGCACTTTCTTTTACCACTGGTGGAAGCATGAACACAACACTCTGTTCATTTTTATTAAGAGTGGAAGTGTTAAAATATCCTTTCTGGACCTATCTCATAGAAATACCAGTACTGCTATGAAATCAAAGTTCTTGATACTGTGAAAACTGAAGTGAACCAAATGTTGGCAAAAGGCTAAAGATATTTGTGGTACATTCATAAACTATAATACCATACAGTTATTAAAAACAATAGGGTAAATATATTGTCTACAGAAAACTCTAAGATTGATGAAGAGCTTTAAATTAGTGCCACAAAATGAAATCAAATAGATACATTATCTTCAATGTTGAGAATTATTTTATATGAAAATAACTTATCTTAATGTTAATGTTGAGTATGATTTTTTTCAACAATAGCAAATCCTTAGTTAAACCCAATAAAATTGGAATCACATGATCCATTAATTGAATAGGATCCTTCATTTTGAACTTTACCAAAACTAACTGAAAAGTTTTCCTCAGCAGAAATAGAGTAGATGAAAATTCACCTTTTTTTTTTTGCTCAATTATGCACATGAATCTCAAAAGTGCTATGTAAGTATAAAAGCTGAGTGATTAAAAATAAATCTACACTGACCGTAAAATGAATTTTTTTCAGCCTAGATGTCATATCCCCCTAAGAAACCTTCCATGACTTCATGATTGGGTCCCTACCTTATACTCTACTTCCATGAGCCAACTAAGATCACTCTGTCCTAGAAGCACTTAGAATTATCTGTTCATCTTGCAAGCTAGACTCTTAAGTTATTTAGGGTAGAGGATGTGACTAACTTAGTACCTACTACATTTCTTGGCACACAATAAGCACTCTGGAATTACTTTATAAAACCGACAACTGAATGATAAGGCAACTTATTATCAGTTTGTCTACTTTAAATTTTTCTCTCTCACAGAGAAATTGTACAAGCTTTGGTTGACATCCTAGTTATTATTTCATTACTAAATACCATACTACTATTTAAAGAGCTATTACTTTGATGTTTTTAAAAGCAAGTGAATAACACATATGCATTAGTAGTCCCAACTTGATTTACTCAACTGTTTAAAACAAAGTTTGCATCCCAATGCCAACAAAGAAGGGACAGGAAATATAAGCAAGGAAGATCATTTTCAGTGTTTTAAAATGTGTACCCATTCTTCCTTTCTTTAAATAAAATACTGATGAAGTCCAAATGTAGCAGACAATAAATCTAAGTACAGGCATCAGATATAAAAGTATGTGCTTATTTTCTGAATAATACAAATTTCTCAAATCATTATATGAACAAATGTTGAAATCACAATGGAAACTAAATTATATGTAAGGGCCTTTCAAATAAATTTCTGGCCAGATGCAGTGATACACCCCTGTAATCCCAATGGCTTGGGGGGCTGAGAGAGGAGGACTGCAAGTTCAGAGCCAGCCTCAGCAACTCAGCAATCCCATCTCTAGATAAAATACAAAAAGGGCTGAGGATGTGGCTCAGTGGTTAAGTGCTCCTGGGTTCAATACTACACGGTACCAAAAAAAGAAAAACAATTACTGTGGCTAAAACACTGTCTACTGAGAAGTCTAATTCAATATTTTCTTTTGGAAATTAAATCCAAGAAAATAGAGAATAAATAATAAGTACCATATGGATTTGGGGCTATCATGGGCTGAACTGTTGAAGTCCTAACCCCTAACACCTCAGACTATATTTGGAAATACAGTCATTGCAGACGTAATCAGCCAAGACAAGGTCATGCTGGAGTAAGGTGTGTGCTTAATCCAGTGCGCCAGGTGTCCTCGTGGAGAGATGTGAGACACAGGGAGAGACATCATGGCAATGGAGGCAGAGGCTGGAGTTCTACAGCCACAAGCTGAGGAATGCCAAGGGCTGCCAGTAACACAGAAACCAGAGAAGGGTGGACAGGTTGTCCCCTACAGCCTTTGAGAGAACCTGGCCCTGCTGCCACATCGTGGATTTCTTGCCTCTAGTACTGTGAAAGAATACATTTCTGTTTTTAAAAATGCCATTCAGTCGTGGTCATTTGTTATAAGAGCCCCAGCAAATTTAGGAGCGTGTTAGTATGCCAGACTATTATTAAATCTAATGGGTTTATTTTGACATTTTGAAAGCAAGGTGCTGTGGTCTAAATGTTAGTGCCCTCTCCCATGCAAATTCCCTTGTTGGAAGCTAATATACAATGGGATAGACACAGAGATGGCGTCCATGGGGAAAGAACAAGTCAAGAGGGCTCTCCTCTCACCAGCGAGATCTGGGCCCTTATAATAAAGAGGAAGGGAGCTAGCTGCCTTTTACCCCACAAGGAGGAAGCAAGAAGCAGGACCTTTGAAGCAGAGAGCAGCCCTCACCATACATGAATATGATCCTGGATACCTAGACTCCACAACTATAGATACCTAGACTCCACAACTATGAGAAATAAATTTCTACTATTTATGAATTTCCCAGTTTAACCTAGTTTTTGTTTGGTAGTCTAAACAGATATAAGTGAAAATTACTTGAAAACTTTTGATTCCATAAATATGAATAGTTAACGACAGAGGGCACTGCTGCTCAGAATACAGAGTTAATAGTAAAGAGCTGGGTCCATATCAGAGCTCTGTTTCAGCTAATGGACAGTGTGGAGCTGGCCACATTTATCAGCCCCACATCTGCAATTTAGTTTATGATTTTCATACGTAAGACAAACATTTTACGTACATTCAAATAGCACCTGCATTGGTCTCTTCTCTTGCCACTGTAAACTACGCAGGGGCTTGGTTTTTCCTCAACTCACTCCTGTCCAAGAATCTTTGCTAATTTTATTCTCCAAACACCAGCTGTGGAGTCTGCAGTGTCAATAAAAGTAAGAAGAAAATTGAAAGGGGGTGGTTGGGGGTTGAAGACATACAGGGTGTAGGAGACGAAGGTGGAGAAGGGGACAGCCTCCCTGCAACGTACAGGATGCCCAACCAAATAATTCCTCCTTTCAACAAGGTGAGGGGAACAATGAAGGGCAAAGGAAGGAAGTGGGAATAAAAAAAAGGGGGGGGGGGGAGAAGGACTCTAAAGGGAGGACAGACACGAGAAAAAGAGAAGAAAAAGGTCAGCTCCTTCCTGAGCCATTCCTTACTGCCTTAACACCTTCAGAACTCTCTCGAGGTAGGATTTGTCCTTCAAGATCATCCCTGTTCCAGAAGATGCTACCAGTTTGGGGACTTTAGAGGAATCTGGCACCTCCACCCCCACAGCTGCTTGGCAGGGAAGAACACAACACAAAGGAAGTCCCTGTATGAGCCTGCAGGTCCACAAAGAGGGGTGTTGATATTTTAGGAGGAAATATTTATTGTCATGGTTTGGATAAGACATCCTCCAAAAGTCCTTGTGTCCATGCAGCAATGTGTAGAGCAATGTCTAGACTAGGAGCTGGGACCCCATCGGTCCACCCTGGCCTGAAGAGACTGACTGGGTGGGTAACTACAAGAGGCGGGGCAAGGCGAGAGGATGTGGTACATGGGGACAGGCCCCAGAAGGGTGCATCTTCCCTGCAGCCCCTCTCCTCCCTCCTCTCTTTCTCTGCTTCCTGATCCCACCAAGAGCAGAGTAGCTGTCCTCTGCTGGACCTCCCCCATAATGTGCTGCCTCACCTGGGGCCCAGAGCATGGAGTCGGCCATCTAAGGACTGAGACCACTCAAACTATAATTCCAACAACTGTATTACAGATGTTTAGAACTCATCTATTTCCTAAATGGTATGTCAATTTAATGCCATAACTTCTTGAAATGAAACTAAACATAAGTTTATACAAGTTTTAAAAGACTGATACACATACACACCACTAATGGTTGCATGCATTGGTGAAGGAAACACAGAAAGATTGTGGCTATGTGAAAAAGTTCTTAAGTAAATCAGAATTAGGATTATAATTTACTCTAAATAAACACAGAATTCGAACTTGTTCTAGGGTGGAAAACAATGAAAGAAATCTGAGGCAAAGACCTTGACCAACCAGTTAGTGCAGTGTGGACAACAGGGTAAGGTGGACTCCAGAGACAAGGGCAGTCAGGATGCCAGGCAGTGTTCTGAGTGGGAAGTAACTACAGTTGTGAATAACCCCACAGACCAAAAGAAGGAGTAAATCAAAACCTTTTTAGAATGATCCATTTGTCCAAATGAGACTTAGTATCTGCCAAGGGACAGAACAGTACTGCTTAAAGTGCTGTTAGATTGTACCTGCACATTTGACTGAGTCATCTGCTCAGCTAACTGCAGACAGGAGTGGAAGGAGGAAAGAATGTCTTCACACAAGCTAGTAATGACATCCTTGTGTTTCAACCGGCTCTTCAAAGCTGACTGGTGTTTAAGGCTCTGCCTAAAATGAATAAAATGAAAAGAATACAATCACAAGTAATATAGCAAGTAACTTAGGGCCATAAAAATATCTGCTTTATACAACACTTTTAAAAACCATAATGCATAATGTGTATTAGAAGAGTATACCCAAGATGTGCTAACTTTACATCTGAAGCAGTTGCTTGTTTTTTCTCTTTGTATAAAATATTAAATGAGCTCTTACTATGTGTGAGGCACTCTTCTATGCCCTAGGGATAAAAAAGTAAATCAAGCTGGGCGTAGTGGTGCACACCTGCCTGTAATCCCACCAGCTCATGAGGCAGGAGGATCAAGAGTTCAAAGCCAGCCTCAACAACAGTAAGGCTCTACACAACTCAGTGAGATCCTGTCTCTAAATAAAATACAAAACAGGGCTGGGGATGTGGCTCAGTGGTCAAGTGACCCTCAGTTCAATCCCTGATACCCCCCCCACCCCCCAAAAAGTAGATCAAATAGATACCATCTCTGCCCTGTGTGTATAGAACTTGTGACTTGTGGTCTAGCATAAGAATATTAAATAATTGTAAATATATTTAATTATGGTTGTGATAAATGCTGAGACAGAAAAGCCAAAAGCGCTACAACAGAAAAAGCTAATCTTGGGCTGGGATTGTGGCTCAGCAGTAGAGCGCTCGCCTAGCACGGGCGGGACCTGGGTTCAATTCTCAGCACCACATAAAAATAAAGGCATTGTGTCGTCTCCATCTACACCTAAAAAATAAATATATTAAAAAAGAAAAAAGAAAAATCTAATCGTATTCTTAAGGCTATCAAAGAATGTGATCATAAAGATGATACTTAAGCATAAAACTGAAAGAAAGCTGGAGTCATCAAGGTGCAGAGTGGGAGAGGGGAGCACTCTAGGCAGAGGGAAAAGCTGTGAAAGCCTGGGCCTAGAGGGTATGTTTGAGGAATGAGGAGCAGGGAGACAGCAGTCTGTGAAGAAGGAAGAGTCCAGGGAGAATTAGGTGTTACTTTGTACAATGGGAGAGAAGTAAACAGTAGAGTGACATGACTTGATTTACTTTTTTAAAAGATCACTCTAAACGCTGAGTAAAAAGTGAACTGGAAGGGGGCAAGAGTGGCACAGACATGACGACAACGATGCTGGTGGCGATGTGGCTAACTTGTTGGGCACAGTCTCAGCATTTTAAGTGATGAACTCAACACTCACTATAATCCTATCAAGAAAGTGCCACAATCGTTACATTCATTCTCAGAAGGGCAAATTAACCACATGCCCAAGGTCTCAGGAAGAAAAAGTGGTTTCAGAATGAACTCAAGGACATGCAGTATGGCTCCCAGGTGACATTCTCAACTAATACACTATTTCTTATTGGCAACTTAATGCCTTAATGATAAAGAAAAGCACCTAAGACCACAAAGAATGACCCCAACCTTTCACCTTTTATGCACATGTCTAATAGAGGTTTCAATGATGCTGACATTGTGACCATGTCTTCCCTCACTCCTACGAACCTGATGAATGTCATAGGCATTCTCCCTGAGAAACTCTTCCCAGCACTCCAGTTTCAGGAAGTCAATATTACTTTATAAATGGAAATAAGTTGGAACAACCCAAACGTGCATAATGAAGGGATTGCAGACAGTTATAATTAGTTACTAATTTGCCCAAGTTTATAAATACTTGACAGTGGTTTAACAATAATACCTACAACCAAGTAGTTATAGTCTGATTCAAGTCCACTGCTAGGTGACTCATTTTTCCATGTTAGAGATGGCAGCATGAATAAGTCCAAATTGGTACGGAAGCTACATATAGGATATCTTCATTGCCAGATAGCATGGCCAGTGAACAATATACACACCACACAAAATTGTTCAAAATGCAATCTAAGAAACCATGAATAATTAGGATTTGAGGTAAATGAAATATTTATAAAAACTAACAAACTTACTTAATTATAAACTTCCAAGTATTGGCATGGAATGCTTGGTCCATACTGGAAATAACAGAGCAGATATCCAATAGTGTATGAATAACTACAAAGAAAGATAACAGAGCCCTTAGGATATTAAAATGTCATTTAGGGTGTTTCTCCTACATTTAAAAGTATCAACTAAACATTTCAATATTTGATTGAATTAAAATAGGCAATGCAGTTTCAAAGTAACTGTATCAAAATAATCATTCAAAATAAGTGCCACCCTTTTGACTTAGTTTTTACAAACTATGGAAAATTAATTTTTTAAGTTTCAACTTAACCTATCACTTAAAACCAAAAACATCCAGAAGAAAAGCTGTGCCCTATTATAACTGAAATATTCTATAGACACGATTCTAAACCAAATTGACAAACTAAGAAAAGAAAATCTAACAAGGAAGAATTAAAGCTAATATACTGGTATTCGTGTAAGGTTTCTATCTGCCTATGGCAGATAATTTTATAAAACTGGCCACCACAGCTTACAATATCCATACTCTTCCACAGTCACACTAAACATTGTCCCTTGACTTGATTTAGCAAAGGAGACAATAATAAAATTGAGACAAGTAGAAATTTGCAAAGTAATTGCACACCAGGAATCGCCCTCTCTTGCTAATCCTGGAACTCTTAAGTCCATCATAAGGTGACTGAGCCTGTGTTAGTCCCTAGAATGAAGTGCCACACAGGACTTTCTCAGTGCTTCTGCCTCTGTCAATAGCCAGATGTGCATGAAATTACTGACTACAAATATATCAGTGAGCCAGTTACGATACCTGGGGCAGAAAAGGTTATCTCAGCTGATCCCCACCTGTACTGCAGACTCACAGACTTGTGAATGATTCAAACTGTGGCTATTTTAAGCCAACAGATTTTTGGGGTGGTTTGTTACAGAGCAAAAGAACTTAGTACCCTACACAAAACAAGTTATAAAAATAATCTTTTTTACACAAATTTTGAAAATAATCTTTACCCTATACATAAGATTATTGTTTTTCAAACTCTGGGTCATAATCCATTAGTGAAGGATGAAATCACTGAAGTATGTTACAATCAGCAGTTATTTAAAAATTAAATAGCATGGAGTGTATCACATATGAAACAGGTATTACTTGGTACATGTACTTTTATATCTACTGGGAAGGAATGTAAAAATACATTTTGCAAATTTCAAAATTTGTACGATTAAAACTTTATCCAGCAAGAATTCAATTATTTTTTATGCATAATGAGTAAAAGATCCTGAAATCACTAGAAACAATGTTGGGTCTAATATTTTAACTGACACATGCATTTCTGTTATTTCACATCATCCACTATAGAGTAACTTTTCTTCACTTACCTATTACCATATTCAAAATATCATCATTCTCATCTACTGAAGGGTCCATGCAAACCATGTCCAGCAATTCCATCAACTGCTTCTGAAGAGAATAGGCCTCCTTGAAAAGAGCCTGGAGAAGGTCTGAAACAAGGTGTAAACACCCAGAATATACAGCTTCACTATTCTGATTCCAAAGATAAAAAAAATGAGAGAAAAATCAAATCATAAAAAGCTTAAGATCCAATTTACTTTAACATATACTATCAGAGATCAGAAATGTAATGCAATGCTTTTAACTTATCACACATCCATAAAACAAATATATCAGTGATCACCCATTTTACATGTGCTTAGACAGCTGTAACAATGTGTAAGATGATTTGTGATTTTCATGATCTGGCAACTCTAGAACTAATAACATTTGAAGACAACATTAGGTCAAGTGCATGACATTTTAGCAAGTGACCACCAAAGAGAAGTATCAATGAGCTAGCAATTTTCATTTACCCAACAAACAGCAATATAAAAACTGCCTGTGCTTTACAAATTCGTGGCCAGCTTTTGTGCCTTAAAGCTGCCCCTGGAATGTTGAAATGGACCAAATAAGGGTCAACTCCCTTTCTAATAGGAAGTTCATTAAAGCGATTCATCACTGACCCACAGATGCTGTATGTCAGGCAATTTCAGAATCCCTGTCACTCAGTATAACTCCTGATCATTTCTTTCTTTATAGAGAAAAAAAAATACATAAAATGAACACCAACAATGAACCCTCAAAAGACCGTTTTTTATGTCTTCCTTCTATCCATTTACTTTGAAACATTTGCACACATACTCTTTTTTCTAAGGAAAAGTCTATCCTAATAACCTTGGCTAAAATGCAAAACCTTATGTATAAACACTGTTTTACTCAGCCTCTTTGCCCATTGATTCTAGGCTACTTAAAGTATACACAGACCATTACTCACCTTACAATGTACAAAAGTACTTTTGATTACATGAAGGACTGAAGAGGGGAGACTATGTATACTTTCTAGGATGACGGATTCCTGTGTGGCACAGACATGCTGAACACATCCTGTAAGAGCTCCTAAGACCTGCACCATTGTCTGGAAATAAGAAAAGAAGATTTATCCTAAGTGTATATTTTTGTGTGCAATAAAAAGGTATCAGACAATATGCTGAATGTTAGGGATAAAACAGTGAACAGATAAAACACACTCTGTTCCTCTTCTCACAGAACTTCAATCTACCCCAGAACAATAACACTGGAACAACTGGCCAGACACTTAGAAACCTAATCCACACTTCAAAATACACAGCAAGTATTCCACACTCGCCTCAAAACTTCAGGTATCTCGATATGTCTCCTTGTAAGAATGCAAATATTTACTCAACATAAGCTGTATAAAAAAATCGAGAATTCAGTATTCCTATCTTTAAGTTCATAAACTTAAATCCAGCATTAGGCCATTAAACAAAGACTATATGGCTAATCAACATAAGCATAAAAATTTTCACTCTCCCTAAACTCCCTCTCTCTCCCTTTCTAATACATTTGACTTACCTGTAAAATATTCCTTAAAGTGTTCTGGATTTCTAAATTTTGGCTTGACAGTCCTCTGGCTTGACAGGTTAATTCATACATCATGTCATCAAATACCTTTACAGTCTGTAAAAGCAAATTAGGTTATAAAAGAATAGAAGAAACAAAATTCTATAGGAAAAGACATACCTTTAAAGAAAAAAAAAAAAAAAACCATAGGATGATTTAATTTTGCATTAGCAACATCAACAGGGTATGGTCCAGCTTAATAAAATACACCTAATTAAATAAAAAATACATGTAAAAAGTAATTCTATAGGGGCTGGGGTTATAGCTCAGTGGTAGAGTGCTTGCCTCATGTATGTGAGGCACTGGGTTTGATCCTCAGCACACACATAAAAAGAAATAAAATAAATAAAGATATTGTGTCCATCTTAAAAAGTAATTCTACAACATAATCCCTTAAAAAAGCCCCCCACAAAAAATAATTACTTTCTGTTTCTTTCGTTTGAGTCTACAAACAACAAAAAATCACTTGAGGTTTATTTGGGGCATGCAAGAAACAGAAGCACTACTCCATACACTTAGAAAACGACTGCCTTGAAGCACCCTCCACTTGGCATCTTACAAGGACACACTCTGGTGTGGGAATGGATTTACACTGCATCACCCAGACATCATTCACTAATATTTGAACACTCTGCCTTTTGACCAATTCAAGATCCCCTTCCTACATGAGAGGTAGCATATGTAACCTCGTAACTAGCTTAACTACCCCCAATATCTTAATAATCAGATTTTTCTAAACTCTTTAAACAGCCTAAATCCTGTAAGAACAACTCAGTCAACAAGGCAATAAAGCTACAGAGGACATCGTTTCCTGCAGGTCGATGAACTCAGATTCCTGTTTTCACCTATGTAACAGCAGGAACTTTTTTTGGCGGTCAGTAACAAATTCTAAAAGCTTTTCAGACAGAAAATAATCCAGTGACTATGAGTAAAAGGAATTCTGCTGATTGTCTGTTTAAAAGCCAAACTTAAAAATCCACTCCAATAAAGGCCAAGCAATCATAAATAAATCAGTTACAATCAGCACCAAAGCACCTTTAGTTCCTTCCACTTTGAGAAAAAAAAGTATGGCTATATTTTTTCAGAGAACATCTACAGCTACAAAGTAGTAATATAATCTGTGAGCTTAATGTTTTTTCATAATTACTTGATTTTAGTTTTTTTTTTAATTTCAGTTTTCCTCCCAAGACTTCTTTAATAAACTTTGGTTTCCATTTTGCCAAACACTGACATTTAACAATTATCAATAAATACTACAAAGATGATAAAGAGGTTTAGCAAATTTCCATCACCCATTCCAAATTTTCATTAATAGCTTTAAAACACAAGAGTTTTTAAAGTTAACCACAATAATTTGAATTCAATTAGCAAAAGATCTATCAATCAGTAAAGGATCTGAAAATAGTTTTAATCACCTCAAGTTTACACCAATGTCATCACATTTTCACATGAGATATTTTTACTACTTATTTGTACTTCAAGTATGTTTGCCCAAACTGAGACTAGATTTTATTTTTATTTATTTAGTTTTTCGTACTGGGGATTGATCCCAGGGGCACTTAACCACTGAGCCACATCCCCAGTCCTTTTTATTTTGAGAAAATATCTCACCACGTAGCTGAGGCTGGCTTTGAACTTGCAATCCTCCTGCTTCAGGCTTCTGAGTCACTGGAATTACAGGTACATGCTACCATAGCTAGTCTGAGGCTAGATTTTAACAAGCTTTATGACATGCAGATTAATATAACAGTACTATACCTTTGGTAACACTTGAGAAAAGAACGTCTGTTCCAATGTCAGGTGGTTCATATGAGGTAAAAACATTTCTACCATAATTTTCAGGATTTCTATAAAGCAAAATAGCAACATACCTTGTAAAAACACTAAATCATGTCAGTTAATAGTCATTACTTCTTACCAAGTGTGAGAATATGTAAGTATTGCCAATCAAAGCTCTGTACAGTGTCACAATGACATATTCTATATGGAGAAACTATTAAGCATTTAATAGCAAAAAGTATCTATAATAGCAAAAAAGAAGACAATGACAACCTATATAGGATCTGTCATTAAAATATTTTATAACATTAAAAAAGTTCACAATACTTTAAACAAGAAACTTCCAAAATAATAAATATAATCTCAATTTTAATATATACATAAATGTCCAAAGAATGAGATAGGCTGACAAGAACATATGGGAAAAAGAGACTGCTTTCATCAGAATCTTAACCATTGCAGATTAGTGGATGTTTTATTATCTTTTCTGATTTTCTGCATATTACAATGTTCTACAATGAATATGTATATCTTTTATATTCAAGATAAAAAATAAATTTGCTACTTAAAAAATTAGACACAACAAAAAATACAGATCCAAAATTATAAAATTCCACAACTCAGTAAAACACAAATAAGCTAATTCAAAATCTGAGTAAACTGAGAAATCTACATACAGTCTTAACTCTCTAACTCCTCTAAGAGAGTAAATCTTATCAAGGAAGAATGATAAAGAGATGGAAAGGAGAAAGTCAACTTTCCCCAAATGACAAATTTGTTATCACCCGGACAAGGACAATCGGCTTTTTATAACTCAGAAAGTACATTCTAAACAACATCAATCCTGTTAGATGCTGAAGGTTACTAAGTAGACTTATGTGAAACATAAGTCTAATGACAACATTGAAAACTGACAATGTACACATATGCATAGCAACGGATCTTTGGGCATTTATCCAAAATGGAATTTAAAACTCTAAGCATTGTAATTTGAAGTAATTTGTTCATTTTAGGTAATGGAAGGTCACAGTGGCTGTAATAAAGAAAATGATTAAAGCTGAAGGGAACACAAAATTGTAAGGACACATCTATTAATATATGTGGAATTCAGACCTAATGACCTCAAAGTAAATCATACAATCAAAATAATTTTACTTACCAACATGTTCAATCCAACTCTCAGAATGTTGATACATAGAGTAAAATAATTAAGGAAGATACAGTATCACAGTAATAGGATATTCGTTACTGAGAATAAGTTCAAAAAGACCCTTCTTGGAATTTAGCAAGAATCCATGAGAGACTGAAATTAGAGACCGATTCCTGGCCTATTTTTACTTTAAAAAACTTAATGCTTATTCGGTAAACAAAAGTAATGTGAGAATACTTAAAGGAAATATCTTCAAAACTATTCAGGGATAAACTTTTCACTCCATGTGTAGTCATGAAATGCTTTTAAGATAAGAAATATTGTTACTATATGATACACGCAGTTCTGGTTTCTAGTAAAGACATTTCTGTCTCCTCAGCATTTCTACTTTGTTGCTTGCATACCTGTCTTACCAACATTACCCGTCTGAAATCCTTCTGCACTTAGCAGGGGCTTACAAATATTTTACAAATACATTCATTACCTATGTTCAATACCAAAGTTAATATAACCACACTACAAACTACATTGGTTCTGGAAATGTTTTACTGTAAAAACCTAAAGATCATTAAAGAATATGCCAACAAGTAACAAGGATGTCCATAACCCCATCACCTAATACAAGAATTGATTCTCTTCTGAAATCTTTGCATTTTTACAGCAAACAAAATGAAGTACAGGTACAGTCACAAACCTATTTGAGTTCAGTTGGGTAGAATTTGCCTTAAGGAAAATGTCAGGTTTTTATTATTCCACAATTCATCCTAAATTATGATTATGTAAACATGCAGGTGAGGGCTGGATAATAATATGTACAATGCAAAATACGAAAACGATTATGTTGGGGTGACAGGAATATGGATTTGTTACACTTTTCTTTTGTTTGTCGTCAACAGTGAAAATATTACCTCCTACTAAAAAAATAGTGTCTGAGACTTCCAACCCTTTTGACATTTGCACTATTTTCAGCACTTTACTAAACACTTATCACAAGCCAGGCAGTTCTCAATACTGAGAAAAAGCAGTGAGCAAACCAAGTCCTGCCCCTACTTTATAGTGTAGTGAGGAAAAACAGGGCAGGGAGAAGCAAATTAAACAAATTTCTATTAATTATGCTCCTCTCTAAAAAACTTAACAGGGCAGCTGGGCACAGTGGCATATGCCTGTAATCCCAGCAGCTCAGGAGGATTGTGAGTTCAAAGCCAGCCTCAGCAACAGCAAGGTGCTATGCAACTCAGTGAGATCCCATCTGGGGATGTGGCTCAGTAATTGAGTGCCCCTTAGTTCAATCCCTGGTATGCCCCCCTCCCCCCAAAAAAAACTGTACAGGGCATTGTGATAAAACTTAAACATACTGGGTTTGGGGGATTACCTTAAACTGAGGGCTCCAAAAAAGCCCCTTTAAAGAAGTAACATTTGAACCAAGACTTGAATAAAGAAATGCCCAAAAGGCTGGAGAAGACTAGGAGGGCTCAAAGTTTCTGAAGCAGGTGAGCCTGATGTATTTGTGGACATACTGTAGTTAGCTCAGTGTGAGAAAAGAGCAAGACTCAGATCTTGGGAATATAAGGTGAGTTTGGATTTTTTCCCTAATTCATTAAGAAGCCCCTGCTGGGGATGGGAGGGGGGGCAGATTCTTTTTTTGAAGAATGGATTTTAGGAGAACATAAGTAGAAATAAGGAAACTATTAATAATAGTCCAAGAGGTAGAGTTTGGAGTCAGAGTGGTAGCAACAGGGATACAGATAAGTGGGTTGATTCAAGATATAGTTTGTTGTCAGAAAGAATAATTTGCTGATTAAGTATGAAAATAGAGAGGATTCAAGGTTTTGGTTCATAGAACCATTTACTTGGATAAGAAAACTGCAGGAAGAACAGATTTGAGTTTTTTGTGTAAAGTTTGAGACGCAAAGCAAGGTAGGAGTATTCACTTTCAATTTACTGAATTCCCCCTAGAACCTGGAGGGGACACCAGGGAGCCTGGCTGCTCATCTTTGTTTCCCGCAAACCTGACGCCAGGCCTGCCACTCAGTCCTGAACACGGGTGTTCTCCGAGGGGGAGGCTGGCAGCCCCCCCCCGCCCGCCCGTTGGAGCTCCGGGACAGCAATCGCGTCTCTGCACAGTGACTGAGGAAAGGCACTGGTACCTTCTGGGATCTTGCTCATGCCTCCCCGAATGACTTGTTTGTGGATATTAATATTTATATTGGGCTTTAGCTGTAAAAAAAAAAAAAAGTCATGTGTACAATGTTCCAATTATGGTCATTTCTTACTCGTTCCTTGGAACTCGTGGGGCTAGGGCTACACTGTCACATTGTAACACTCACAACCAAGCCTCATCTGCACAGGCAGCAGCGGCCCTCGGCACTCAACGCTGACGGAGGCCAACAGCGGAGGCAGCCCTACCTAGCGAGGCCGACAGGGCAGGGGAGAGGTCTGTCCTCTCAAAGCCGTGGCCTCGTAGCCTCACTGCGTCCCCGGACCCCCGACTCACTCACCCCCGCTGCACCGCCAAGAGCGGCGGCCAGCGGCCCCGCCCACTCCGCGCGGACCTGGGAGCCAGGGCGGACCCGGCCCGCGCCACTGCACGACGATGGCGCCCCCGCCCAGCCCGGCCCTCCGAGAGGATATGAGCAGCCGAGGCAGGACCGACGGCAGCTCGCGGCGGCACTGCGCCTCAGGCCAGCCGCGCAGCTCCTCCAGCGGAGCCGCGCGCTCCTGAGACATGATGCCCGCGCCGCTTCCACCGCTCCCGCCGCCGCACCGGAAGCCCCGGCCTCCCGGCAGCCCTTGCGAGGCGGCGCCAAAGCGGGCACCACCGAGAGGCGCGGCCGCGCGCCCGAGGAAGCCGGCCCCTCTAGGCCCCGGAGGACTCCACTCACGGGTGCGCGCTCGAGGCCGGGCGAGGCGGGCAGCGCGGCTCTCTCCGCCCCGCGACCCCCGGTCCCGCCGGCGGCCAGCGTCCCCGCGGCTGGGTCGTGCTTCCGGGAGGTGAGGCCGGGAGTCCCAGGTTCGTACCCTTGGCCCCGCGGGGCTCTGTGGGTGCACGGGTGGGCTCAGGTTGGCTGGACCTCGCGGGAGGTGGCCCCAGACCCGCGGCGCGGCAGGGCGGACGCGTCCCCTGTCACCTGTGCCCCCCTACGTGTCACCCGTGTGCTCACCTGGGTCACCCATGTGTTCCCGTGCGTTTTCACCTGCATGTCCCTCTGTCACTCACGTGCTCAGGCTCCTGGTCTGGAAAAATGTGCCTGGTGAGAACCACACCTGCATGTTTTTAAAGGGATGTTCACCTTCCAGGCTACAATCTTGAGCTCTTGTTTTTGTTTTTAAGTATTTTTGTTTGTTTTAGTTTCAGATGGACACAGTACCTTGATTTTATTTATTTGTTTATTTTTATGTGGTGCTGAGAAAAGAACCCAGTACCTCACACAAGCACTCTACCTCTGAGCCACAGTCCTAGCCCTCTTGTTTTGGTTTTAGTACCCAGGGGTGCTTAACCACTGAGTTATATTTTTTATTTTGAGACAGGGTATCACCAAGTTGCTGAGGCTGGCTTTGAACTTGTGATCCTCCTCCTCAGCACCCTTGTTTTTTGAGGCAGTAACAAAATGAAGTAATTCTGAAAGTTTAGGGAGTGAATAGGTTTGGTTACAGTCAGGATCACTGAAAGACAAGTTCCTAAGCTGTCCTGGCTGAAAATCCTGGACTTTGTTCAGTGGCAGTGACTGTTGCTGTTGCTCCTCTCTTGTTTTTATAGTTTATTTTCTTTCCCAGCTTCTGATCCTTAAGGGGTGTGTGTGTGTGTGTGTGTGTATCTTTTCTCAAATCTCCTTTCTACCCCTACAGCTTTTTCAGAAAAGGCAGCTGATTATGGGTAGTGTGACGGGGTCTGTTTAATATTTTGCTTTAGTGAAATGTGACATTTTGCTTTAATAATTTTATTTATTTATTTTTCTCTAGGGCTAAATTCAAAGAGGAGCAAAGACCTCTAAAAAGTCTTTGGAAATGTGTTTGTAATGGTGTGTAAGCAGCTAAAGAGGAATTGACCCCAACAGAACTAACTGGATAATTGAGGCAGGTTTCTGTGTGTCATCAAATTCTGTCCAGAAATCGAAGAATCTTCCTTTGAACTCTAGGCTGGTGTGCATTTAATAAGAGGATGACCTTTCAATTTAATTTCACTATAGAAGACCATCTGGAAAATGAATTAGCGCCTGCTGGAGATGGAGCTTTGACTCTGAATTCCTCGAAAGCATCATCAGTGTCAGTAAGTCGAAAGGGAGAACCCGAGAACAAAAAATGTTCAGAGGAGCACCTGGGGAAGCCCAAGTCAGTGGGGAATGCAGCTCCCCCTCCAGATGCGGATCCACCCAGTGCAGCTGGGAACTCAGAGGGCTCTGGGCCACATGACGATCGGCCTTGCTTGAGACTTGCCAAAGAGCATGCTGTGCCTAGAGATTTGAAGAAAGTGCTAGAAAATAAAGTCATAGAAATGTTGCCAGGTCTCCAGCCTGTGAACATGTCAGTAGTGAAAACCACCTTGTTGAAAGAGAACTTCCCTGGAGAAAACACAGTTTCAGAAAACTTTTCTTCACACTCTGATCTGATTACAGGTGTTTATGAAGGAGGCTTAAAAATCTGGGAATGTACCTTTGATCTCCTGGCTTATTTCACAAAGGCCAACATGAAATTCGCTGGGAAAAAAGTGTTGGATCTTGGCTGTGGATCAGGGTTGCTGGGTATAACTGCACTCAAGGGAGGGGCCAGAGAAATTCATTTTCAAGATTATAACAATCTGGTGATTGATGAAGTGACCCTACCTAATGTAGTGGCTAACTCCACTTTGGAAGAGGAAGAAAATGATGTAAATGAACCAGATACAAAGAGATGCAGGAAGTCAAAAGTAGCCCAGGAACTGTACAAGTGCCGTTTCTTTTCTGGGGAGTGGTCTGAGTTTTGTAAGCTTGTGCTAAGCAGTGAAAAATTCTTTGTAAAATATGACCTCATTCTCACCTCAGAAACCATTTACAACCCGGACTATTATAGTGCTTTGCACCAGGCATTCCACAGACTGCTGGGTGAAAATGGGCGGGTGCTTCTGGCCAGCAAGGCACATTATTTTGGTGTTGGTGGAGGTGTTCATCTCTTCCAGAAGTTTGTAGAAGAAAGGGATATATTTGAGACTAGAATACTCAAAGTAATTGATGAAGGACTAAAGAGATTCCTAATTGAAATGACTTTTAAGCAGCCCAGTTAATATTCACGGAGTCTCCTAAGAGAAATAAACAGAATGACCCCAAACTTCTGTTTTGCTATTGTTTTTTCTTGAAATTATGGTGTGTCTTTAGTTTTGTTTCTTCAAATAATAGACCAACTGTGTTAATAACATTGGATTTGCTAAGTGAGACTGAGCAAGTGTTCTTGAGCATTTGGTGAGATGACCCAGAAATCATCTTATCCGAAAGTTCTGTTTTCATTCTGTTTGCCCTTTCTACCATCTTGGACTGTTCATGAAGTTGTCCCCAGGAAATCCTGCCATTTCTTATCTAAAGTTTGTGAATTTCTTCCCAGTCTTTTTTAGTTTCTTGTTCACACAAAGTGCCTGGTCAGATTTTTAAATGGTACAGCATTTCTAAATGACACTGAACCTGAATATTAGGATGAAGGCCTTTTATAACTCTGGAGAAGGTTTTATTTTCATATTCATTTACCTAGGATGCTGAGCAGTTGAATTCATGTTAAAATGAGAAAACAAGAACATAAAAGATAATGAAGTATAAAAGTGAAACAGAGAATTTAAAATTAACCTCTTGTAGTTAAGTAAGAGAACTTAGGCTCTTGGTAAGAGAAACGAGAATAGCAAAAGATAATTCTGGGGGGTGTAGACTCCTTACCGGTTGTTCAATGCTGGTGGTGGGGAGGGGCAGCATTTTATTGCTTTTGTTGTTTTTAGTGCAAAAGTTTTCACATCACCTCTAAAATTGACATCTGCTATGCTATCTATAATTGTCAGTTATTTTCTTTTTTAATCTAATCCTCACAAACTTTAAAAAAAAATCCTCATATGCTTCTTTTTTCCTTTCTCTTATTAGCGCATTAGGTTGTATATGATAGTTGGCTTTATTTTGACATAATCACACGTGCAGAAATTTTATTTACTCCATTTTAGTCCCCAGTGCCTTCTCCCTCCCCTCTGCCCTCCCCCATTCCCCTTCCTCTGCTCTACTGGTCTACCTTGCATTCATTTATGATGCTTTAGAGCTGTGGTATAAATGCTTTTCACTGTGGTATATTTATACATGCATGTAGTGTAATTTTGTCAAATTCATTAGGCATTTTCTCCTGTTTCCCCTCCCTCCTTCCTTCCCCTCAATTACCTGTTTCATTGATCTTCCCTCTGACTTTACGATATCAATACCATTTTTTGTTTCTTGGAAGTACTTTAAATAATGCTACGTCTTAGGTTTAATTAAATGTGGTATTTATTGGACACCTGTTGACTAGGTATTCATATAGCATCTTGCTTCATAATTATAACCTTATCAGATATATTGGTGATGACCATGACAGCTAACAGTTTTTAGCATATACTATATGCACAACAGTTCAGCTTTATACATAATAACATTTAATATTCCAAACAGCCCTGGATTAGGATGTAACTACTGTCCTCATTTTAGAAATAAATCAAAACTCAAAGGAATTCAGTAATTTGCTCCCAATCACATTCCTCACGTTGAACTGGAATCTCAACTGAAGCCATTGGAAATTATACTTTTCACCACCTTCTGGTTTCAAACCTATCAATGCCTGTTTTTATCACAAATATTTCTTAACATCATGTATTATTCTGAAGTGAAGGTCAGTTAAAGAAGCTTGTATCAAGCCTGGTTTTGTGGTATACACCTGTTATCCTAGTGACAGCAGGCTGAGGCAGGAGGATCACAAGTTCAAAGTCAGCCTCAGTAACTTAGATACCATCTCAAAATAGGCTGGGTGTGTATCTCAGTGGTAAAGTGCCCCTAGTGCCATAAAGAAAAAAGTTTATATCATTAAAAAATACACACACATCCTTAACATATATAGGGTTACATGTACTCTTTCTAACTATGACATGAACAAAGTCATTTATAATCTCTTTGTATCCTATCAGGTAAGTGCACGGGGGCAGGCAGTGAGTGGCACACTAGGCCACCGAAGGCAGGCAGTAGCTGGTGCTAGTCCCTAAGTGCCCTTGCTGGAAAGCCAGCTGCAATTCCAGACCTACCCGCTGGATAAGGTGGTACAAACAGGCCCGGCCAGCTGCATGGGCCAGTTGGTCCCAAGGCAGTGAGAGAATCCTGTGATACATAACAGGTGTTTTCAAGAGAAGCTCTCCAAGATGAATGAGCCCTCAGTAGGTCACGCGGGAGGCCTGTCCAAGAGTAGTAGAAACAGGCCATGAGCAAGGTTCTGGACGCAAGTTCAGTCTTTAGAGGGGGAGTCCAGCATATGTCGAAGGTATCAAAAAGAAGCCCAGACCTTCGCAGGTAATTCTGAGGTAACAGGTCGTCCAAAGGGGATACACCTAACCAAGACAGCTGGCAGGAAGAGGACTTGGGATGTGAGTCATGCTACAAACCCAGGAGAGGGACGCTTAGTTAGATTTCTTGTGCAAATAATTTAATTGTTTAAGGAGATATATAGGTAAGACAATGGGTTTTGTAGTCTAATACCTTGAGTTTAAAATTGTTTCCCATATCACAATGAATCTCATTAATGTGTATAAAGTGTGTTAATAAAAATAGATTTTTAAAGCCCTAAAATTTTTCCATTTCCCTCTTGTGAAACAGGGCTTATAATAGTATCTCCCTAACAAAATTCTTTGAAGATTACAACTCAATGATGAATGTCATGGATCCTATTACACATTTCCTGTGTAGAAATGAAAGTTATTACTTCCAAGAATATTTAGTCACCCTGTTTTCCTAAACAGATAGGAAGTCTTGCTCACTTTTGTTAAAAGTTAGATTTGTACCTTTATGTTTTACAAATCCCAGCCCAGAACTTGGAGAAAAAACTAAGTTCCAGACTTTGCACTGCCCAGCATCAATCTCCACTCTGTCCCACCACCCACCTCCTCCTCCTCCCCTCCCATTCCTGTAGAGTCCCTTGGAAGCTGTGGCATTGCAGATGGTTAAGAACAGTGAGACGGTGGAATGAGATGGACATCATCCCTAAGTGCATGTACGAAAACACGAACCGTATGACTCTATTTTGTGTGTAACCAGAGCCACGAAACATCCTGTTCTATATATGTACCATGAATTGCAATGCATTCTGCTATCATGTGTGACAAACTAGAATAAATAAATAAATTTAAAATTAAAAAAATAGAATGGAGAAGGGTGTGTGCCCTGGCTGAGTTATGGAGGCACGGTCACCTGCGTGCTGTGTTCTGCCTGTGGGCTCCCTAAGTTCCAGCTCACTGTCCCACAGATGGCTCTCTGCCCAGGGTTCAGACCTGGGGGTTAGGACTGTCTCTGTGCTGTCTGAGAGCCATGACTCCCTGTGCCACGTGCAGTGGCCGGTGACATACGTGTTGTAGGGCCTGCAGGTGTGTGACGGCCGCTCAGCTGGAGAATGAGCTGAGTGGAGCACCCATGTCTTTGCTTTTCAGCACCCTCCATACTGTTTCATCCAGGTGCAAGAGGACAGCAAGGAACTCTGACAACTCAAACTGGACCCTCTGCCTCCACTTCAGCTGGAGGCGCTGCCCTTGGTGTGATGTTTATGGTGGCACTGTGCTTGCATGATGTAGGGCTCTTCTCCGAGTAAAACCACATATTAAAATTGCCAACATATCTGGGCGCAGCCCAGCAGAAAGGGTGCCCTCTGCCATGAAGGAACCATTTATTGTGGTCCAGGGACGCAGCTTCTCTTCAACCAGCTTGTTTGAGGGGAAGACCTGGTACATTTATCAGCACTAGATATTCCTCACAATTCCAATTTTCGCCTTTTTAAGAAATTAAAAGTGAATCCAGATAACCCTTAAAAGTAAGTTCTTCATCTACAAGGGAAGTTGTCTGAGAGAAGTATTTTCTCAGGATAAGAATTATTTCTTTGTTTGAAATAAAACACTATAATACTGACAAATGGCTTGATGACTTAAGAATTCCTGAAGGGGGCTGGGGAGGTGGCTCAAGTGGTAGCGCGCTCGCCTGGCATGCGCGGGGCACTGGGTTCGATCCTCAGCACCACATACAAATAAAATAAAGATGTTGTGCCCACCGAAACTGAAAAATAAATATTAAAAAATTCTCTCTCTCTTTAAAAAAAAAAAAAAAAGAATTCCTGAAGGGCGTGGGTCGTTTGCCCCTCACAGAGCGGGTCAGTGGTTGATCTACTTGTGATCTGCAAACACGCGCTGGAGGGGTACGTGGTCACCCTTGTCCCTAGCTCTTACAGGAGAGATGGGAGGGGGCCTGTGAGATGAGCCTTTGGCTCTGTGCCTCTGAGGCCTGCACAATGCAGACAGACGCACTCTGTCTCGCCAGACCCCAGACAGTTTGCCACGCTGCTGCTGGACCATGTGGTGCCCTTAGGCTGAGAGAAGAGGTCCTTCCTCCAGGCGGAGTCAGCCCCTGGCAGGTTCAGTCTCCTCACCTCCTCGGCTCCTCTTGGTATTCCTGTGGCTTAGTTCTACAAAATTCCACATTCTCCAACTGACAGGGTATAGAAAAATGGGCAATGGGATGGTCAACACCAAGAGAAGAACTAGAGTACTTCCTGGGCCCACCAGGCTTGGGAAGGGGCTGTAAGAGATGTTTTTTCTCCTTGTAGTGATTCGGTGATCACAACAGCCTGTCCTGGGGCATCCAGCATGGTGAGGAGAACTGGGCTTTAGTTATTCTGCAGCAGGTGAATACAGAGAAAATGTCTGAACAGCGGGTTAGGGATACAGGGGCAAGTATCCCCCTGGGAGCCTCCCCTGCTCACTGGACATCAGGGTGAGCACTAACTCCAATGGCTGCTGGAACCTATCCCTTCGGACCTATCCAAGAGTCTCAGAGCTTCTTCGGCTGCCCTGGGCGTACTACAGCAGCAGCAGTAATTGCGATTCTGAAAGCCTCCAGCTCACCCGACAGTCTGGCTGTAGCTCTAGCAATTTTCTGAGACTACTCTCAAATCCCCAGCAGGTCCCAAAAGTAAAGGTAAACTCCTGGTCCCAATAGCATGGTCATGGATCATTCAACAGCCCAGGCACCTCTCAGATCTTTCTGATGCTGCAGAGAAGAATCTTATATGCTCATGTAGACAAC